ATAGCTATCTAATAAATTACATCATTTGTTCTAGATAATACATAGTACTTCGCTATGGCTCTCACCGCTGCTGAAAAGCAGCGGCGCTATAAAGAAAAGTGCAAATAAAACCCTGAAGAGGTAGCGGAAACTAAGAAGAAGGATTTAGAGAGATATCATAAAAAGAAACGCTTAATAAAAGACATGACTCAACTCAGTATAGAAACTACAGATCTTGTATAGATGGATTGACAGAAGAAAAAATAGCGCTACACGTAGACTTCAGCGAAAATTACAATTGCAAGTTCCATGAAGTGATACAATCACACCACTTTCGTGATACTCGTAACCAGGTATCCTTACATACTGGCGTATTGTATAAGCGAAGCTTGGAAAATCGAAACATAGAGGTGAAGTCTTTTTGTACAGTATCAGGTAACCTCTCTCACGGCCCTTCGGCAATCTGGAGTCACCTTCATCCTATACTTTCCTCAATTCAAGACCAATCCCCTAAAATAAAAGTGATACACATATTTTCAGATGACCCGCTACTCAGTACCGCCATAATCAAAACTTCTGCTTAATATGGACAAAACTTTTCTCAAAGTACAACCTCACCAAGCCTACATGAAATTTTTTCGAGTCGGGACACGGCAAAGGAGCAGCTGTTGGTGTTGGTGGCTTTCTAAAACGGACTGCTGACCAGCTTGTTGCTGTTGGGAAAGACATTCTGATAGCGTCTTCGTTCTATCAGTCTCTGAAAGATAGTAGTAGAGTTAAGGTCAATCTTGAACTGATTATGATATTGAAAGAATCGCGAATGAAATTCCAGCAGAAATTGTTCCTTTCTATGATATAATGAAAGTACATCAAGTGTACTACTAGTGTATTACAGAAGAAGTGGGAGCGCTGAAATATCGAGAGTTGAGCTGTTTCTGCTAGCTTGGTTTCTCCTCATGAATGAATCCAAAAAACTATTGTCCACTAAAGGATACAGTCGAAGAATCAAAGGAGTAATTCTACTAATCTAGCGGATATAAGTAATTTGATTGAACAGAAAAGGAAATCTTTTTACAATGTAATTTACAGTTCGAGTTCGGAATCAGATGATGATAATCCTGTGCTACGATTAAAAGATAAGGCATCAGATCAACCCTGCTTGTCTAAAGAAAAAAATGATGAGAATCACTTGATTCATAAAGAAAATATTCATCCAAGTAAAATCAAAGAAGGAGTCTAGGTCTTAGTTAAAGTTTACAATTCTGAAAGTAAGTGTTTATCTAGGCAAAGCATTAAGCGAAGTAGACGATGATGGTGAAGTAAAATTTGTCTTTTTAAATTCTGTTGACGATACTAGAAAAACATACAAATTAGTTTAAAATGATATATCATATGAACAATATGAGAGTTTCATAAGAGTTGTTTCAGTACCTAAAAAGTAAATAAAGGCAAAAGGGTATATTACCAGTTCCATACTCCACTAGAGATATTTGAAAAATAAGTTATCAGCTTAGGTTTAATTTGATCTCAATAAGATTTTTTAGCTTTTTCCCCTTAAGTTTTATAATCTAATTAAGTTTCTAAACTTCTTAAAACAATTCATAGCCAAAAATATTGTTTTTGTGATAGTTGTTCATAAATTTGTTGCGAATAGTACAACTATGTTATTGTTCCTACAAGTTTGTTACTTTTGTGTCCCTAAATATATAAGAGTAATGTCTCGAATTTTATGAAAAGCTGACACCTGACTCTATGCATTGTTTATTAATTATTTAATATTCTCATTTATACACAACATCATCATTATATTTTAATAATTTAATTCAATTTACATAGTTTATAGTGAAAATTTGATCATTAAAACAAAGGAAGTAACAGAGTATATTTAACTTCCATTACTGTTCCTACTTAAGAAGAAGTATTGTGTAATTTTGCATGTTGAACATGAGAGTAAAGACTTAATTAATGTTCATAACAAAGAATGTTTCTAAAAATAATTGTTTGTTGTTTAAATATGAATAAATATATGATGGTAACAGAGTTGTAATTTTTTTTACCCTGCACTAGTAAATTCCTTGAAAATCTAAAAATAGTGGCAAGACATCGCGCCCAAACACGATATTGCATTTAACAATAATATCTACATAGCATAAATACCTATACAACTAAGTTAAACAGAATTTTATTTTCTTTTGTTTTCGAAATTTACAGTCACATTTTCTGCCACCGATTTTAAATTGACCCAAGGCCTATAAATAATTGTGCCGGGGGTTGTTTGTCCTCATCCAATTTATGTTTGTAAACTGCCTCCACAAAGAGGAGAAAATCCTAGTATGGATAAGGTTTTTTTTTAAAATAAAAGATAACTTTTTTTTAGTTTGTTTTTTTATGGTTGAGAAGTAATGGTAGGTTACGTCGCATACCCTTATAAATCACCACTCAATCTGCTACCACCGTTTGTTAACTAGATAATATTTTCACTGTAGTATGAGAAAAGCCACACAAAAGTAAAAAATGTAGATAGTAACAAAAGAAAGATTAACTAACCTTATCACATTCCTCATCAGGTACTGCAGATTTGACTAGCCTCTTTCCAAAATTATCAATGAATGATGATTTCTTAAAATGTTTAGTACACAACATTAAATGCCTAGAATGAAGATTGTTTTGAAATTCTGGTGACCACTAAGATTCATGAGGAAAACAGTACTTCGCCCATAATTCACATCTGAAAAAATACAATTAGATAGTAATATACTACTGAGGTGCTAAAAACGTGCTTGGAAGAAGAGTGCAATACAAGAAGATTGTTCCTTTCAAACAATGTGATTGTATTGTATACATATATAAATATTATTCCACAAGTTATTTCTATGTGTACCAATACATCTAGAACTTTTTATTATGTTATGATTTCTATGTGATAAACCTCATGCTGTTCTGCATAATTTCTCTAATTTTCAGATTTATTTGCACACGTTTTTAAATCGCTTAATATGTATCTTAGGTTTTATTAGCCGATGCGGCCCATAATAATTTTTATTTCTGCTACTTTATTAATTCAGTGGTTCAAATTTAAACATTTTAAAACTGTTTTAATCAGTAATCAAAAAGCTATTTAGCATACGTACCGTACGCTATTTGTTCTCCCAGGCTTAGGAAAACGATGCAAGGTGATGTTACGATCATGAGCAGGAGAACATCCACACTTGTAACATTTCCTTTCGTTTTCTTTCATGATGAAAGATAAAATTGAGTCTCTGTCTCTTTAGCACAATGCACAGCACTTGTTTTTGAGTCTCTTTCTCACTGTAAACACTAAAACGGAGGAACGGGATGTTCAAATCAACGTTAGTAATGTAAGAAATAAGTTTATATCGAAATATAAACTTAATTTGCAACACAAATAAACAAGAACGTAACAGCAAGCGCAACGGATCTGCCATTTGTAATTTTGTTTATTTGCCGTTGCCATAACTTGCCTTTTTATTATAGTATGCAGTTTCATATTTATACATTTTGTTACTTCAATAAAGACGTAATAAATATATGTTTAACGAAATATATTATATAATAAAGTATTATAATTATTAAATAAAAAAATGATTAAAATGATGTGTCATTTAAAATAATATTTCTTTCATGGCAATATAACATAACGTGCGAGGGAGATAGATATTATTCCATCTCGCTTCTTTAAAGCCCCCCAAGGTCATCTCCCGGTGCCAATCTGCTATTAGGAAGTTGACCGGCCCTGGGTTAAAGTCTTTAAACCGTCGCGAACATCTCTCCCGCCGTGCAGCGTCGCGAAGATCTCATCGCAGTGGCGCTGCATCCATTTCGGTGAGCGACGTTGCTTCTACTTCGGCAGTGGTACGAGTTTCTTGGTTGGCCTCTTGATTAGGCCGTTCGCGGTTCGTACCTCCACAGTGCGGATCTGTCCGTCCGCACCGGGGAATACTGCTTCAATTCTTCCTCGTGGCCAGGTGTTACGAGGTAACTGGCCGTCGGCTATGAGGACTGGATCGCCCACCTGGAGATCGGGGCCTCGACCATGGGCCTCCCGCCGGTTTTGGAGTTCCGGTAGATACTCTCGCACCCAACGCTGCCAGAACATGTTAGCGAGTATCTGGGAGCGTCGCCAGTGCCGTTTACTGTTTATATCTTTTTCATTGAATACCCCAGGTGTCGGCAGTCTTGCTGATCCTCCCAATAGGAAGTGATTTGGAGTGATGGACTCGTAATCGTTGCTGTCCACGGAGATGTGAGTTAGTGGTCTACTATTTACTGTATACTCCACCTCGCAGAGCAGCGTGGCTAATGCTAAGATCTATAGACCGTACTCTGACTTTGCTCAGACTTTACTTTCGAGCTAAGACAACGTCGGTATTTATAGAACTAACTTCTAAATCGTGCTGAGTGCGCGCTAAGCAAAGCCTAAGTCAACGAAATCGACGACTTACGAAAAACTCAAGATATTATCCTAACAAAAGTAATGGTCCAAAATTACTTTACACTCTCAGAGCAACTGAAAACTCTTTAACTTTGTCGTATTTTTTCAAATGCAATGATGCCACTTTAGAGAGAACTTCATGCAATTAAGGAAATCGTAAGACTAAAAATTTAACAATAATGCTGCTATAATTTCTTTAAAAATAGAAAAAAAATATTGACAATATTTTATCATAATAAAATGATTTTGATTGAGGGTTGATGAAGGTTGGGTGCTTTTTTATTTCGATAAAAATATATTTTAAAAATAACTCAAAGGGAAAATTAGAATTGTCCATGGCTACACAATAAACACCATAATTTGGTCTGTGCCGTATTCTACGTTCTGCATAGTTGTTGTTTTGGTTAGCTTTCTTTAAAATATAACGATATCTCCCTAGTTTCGACCGGCTTGCTTAACTGATTTTGTACCTTCTTTTACGGCTGACCACGGCTACCTGTTCAACGGATTTTGTACCTGCTATACCACTGACCCACGGCTATTCTCTTACGGACTCCGAAGCCCTAAAATGGAAAATACAAAAAAAAAACAAAAGCCTTACTCGGAATATGAAAAACAAGTTTTAATACAATTAGTTCAAGCCAAGATCGGTGTGATCGAAAACCGAAGGACAGACGGCGTTTCGCTTAGAAAGAAAAGTGAAGCTTGGGAAGAAATCACCTCTCAATTCAATAATTCGAACGTGACACAAATCGTAAGTAAAATTAACTAAATAATTCATATGTGTAATCATTAAAATGTTTTTAGTATATCTTCATACCAGTCGTTTGAATTAATTGGCGTCATTTTCGTGTTTATGCTAAAGTACCTTACTGATACTATATGCACATGCAGAGGCACTCAAATAAGTTGAACTATAAATTCTTGCTACAGATACTTACAATAAATACTTACCCCTATAATAGCTCTAAGCTGTGCCATGTGAAACATTGACATTTGACACCATTTCTAATATTTATCTACTATTAATTTTCAGGCTGATACTAAACAATTAAAAAAGATGTGGCAAAATTTAAAAACCAAGGCCAGGGATGCCAAGACTCTGGAGGCCCAAAGGAAAAGGACAGGCGGAGGACCAGCTCTGTCAGATATGGGACCTTTGGAGTCTCAAGTAATAGCTGTCATGCCAAATGTTTTACCATCCATCAACATAGAAATTGACAGTGATACAATTGCTACCGGTAAGTTAAACATCAAAAAATGTGTTATTAATGGCAACAGATTTAAAAAATACTATATATATGACAAGCTTTTGCCTGTGATGTCAGTGTCAATTTATTAAAAAGCCTGTTTAACTTGAATTAAAGTAACCAAGATCTCTCCTTGCTAAGTCCTCTGGCCGAAATTGGTTCAGCCATTTTGAAGATATTCCATGAATAACAGATATACAAAATCTGGTATTTAAGTTTTATAGATAAATTAAAGAATATTAAATCGCTTTTAACTTTCAAAACAATATACCTATTTATTTTTTTACCTGCCACTTATGCCTACACCTACTGTATGGTTTTTATCCAGTGTTTGATAATAAAATTAACAGATGGATTGGATATAATAATCCATAGTTACATCAAATATGTATTTTTATTAAATAAACTAGTAGGATGCGGCAAGTAAAGACTGTGTAAGAACCTCCGAAGGAGGTGGAGTTATAGCAGAAATAAGAATTTGTAATTTTTTTGTTTTTGGCCATTTTGACCCCCTAGGTGTGTAATGAAAACTTTTTGCCCCTATTCAACCATGACCATCATGACATCCTCTACATGATAAGCTATTCAAACTGACTATCTCCAAAGTTTGAGTCAGCCCCCAACCCATTTCTAGTCTTTACTTCCAATAATTAACTCATAAGTCATGATAGGTTTTACTTACCGTTTAGCACTTTAAATTTAAATGATTTATCCACTCAAATATTATTAAGAGTCCAATAATGAATAGTATTTATTTAATCAGTAAGATGACATAATATGTGCTTGTAATTTCACTTATAACATTGTATTTCTATTTCCAGGTAGTACCCTTGGACTAGACAACGACGAGCAAATGTGGCTCCCAAAGAGAGCTCGTATGTCTGATATGGAGCAAAATAATAATATAGATATCGAATTCATAGATGACGTACAAAAAAAAAAAGCCCAAAGCCGAAACAGGGAAAACAGAAAAAAACTTTTGATGAACTGAAACAGGAGCTGATACTACAAGAATTAGAAAATAATAAGAAGAGACATGAGGATGAAAGCAGACGGGCTGAAGAAAAATATTTAAAGGAAAATGAATTTTTAGAAAAAAAATGAGCTTTAGAGTTAGAAATTTTAGAAATAAGAAAAGAAAAAGAAAATATTTTAAAAAATAAAGCAATAAATGAATAAAATAAGTTTTGTTTTACTAAAGTTTATTTCTTAATTATTTAGTTAAATTGTGCTATTATAGACTGTCGATACGCTAGACCTGCAGTGGATGATGTTTCATTGTTTGGTCTTTCAGGAACTTCCGGTATATGATCATTATCACCATCGTCATAAGCATCCCCACTCTGAATACCTATGTTGTGCAATACTGCACAAGCTACAATTATGTTGCTTGTATTAGTGAGCTTAGAACGTAGGCCCAACTGTAAGCATGGAAATTTCTTTTTCCATACTCCAAAAAACCTCTCAACTATATTACGGGTTCTTATTTGAACATAATTGTATCGGTTTTCTGCTCTTGTTACTGGAGTTATAAGAAGTGTTAAAAGGAAAGGAAGAGAGGGATAACCACTGTCACCTACTAAAACTCCTTGCAAATTCCCGCTTAAGAATCTAGCGTAAGCTTGAGAGTTTCTAAATATTCTGCTATCATGTGAACTGCCAGGCCAGCGGGTTACTATATCAAAAATTTCCATGTTTGGGCCTACAATAGCTTGTACATTAATAGAGAAATATCCTTTACGATTTCGGTATATTTCAGAATGGGAGATACCTCTGGGTCTATTTATTTTAATATGTGTGCAGTCTATAGTGCCAATAATGTTGTTAAATCCATGCTGAATATTGGATCTTCCTAGTTCTTCAAATTTTCTTTTTACCACATTCATACTTCTTGGGAAATGTATATACCTTGGTAATAAATTGCTCAATTGTCTTGATACATTATTTATTATAAGACATACTGTGGATTGGCTTATGCCAGTCAAATCACCACACACCATCTGGAATATCAAGGAATATAGGTATTACTTATTATGTATAAAACATACTATATACATAACCAATGGTAACTTCTGACTATTCGAAAGAACTTGTAAAAGTTCAATTGAATAAAAATTCTATTCTATTCTACGAAACAATAATTACCTGGAAACAGCCTGTAGCATAAAACCTTAATGCAATAAGTAATTGCAGTTTTGGAGAAATCGGCAAGCCTCTATTGTCCAAATGCTTTAAATTGGCAATTATTAAAGGTAATATCACCTTTAAAACAGTGAGTTTAGTGAAACGGTTTTCGTCATACAGCTTGAAAGGGTTTTGGTTGTATTCATTCCGAACATAGAATTTAGGCATGCGCCGAAAATTTATATCTGCTGAAGTTCCCAATCTATCTATATTTTCTAAAGTAGATAGAACTCTATCTATATTGTCCATTATATCACAGAAAAGTCCAAAGATTGTCGGGTCCAAATTTCTGAAGTGTAGGTCGAATCGGTAGGTAGAATCGGGAGTCCAAGTTCCAAAGCCAGTCGTAATAAAAAGATCAGGAGATTAAAATATATATAAAAACTTAAAATGCGCACAATATCAATAAACCAAAAGCTTCACGTTAGAAAATAGAAACAGTGATTTTGATTTGACAGCGCGCGCGAACGGGTGATCAAACGTTCGGTTTCTATCTCATATTTTTAAACTAAAATGAGTTAAATATACTTTTATCTCTCTTTAAATTCGCCTGTTTTCTACTTCATGTAATAATAACTTATTTATGAAATACAATTCGGACTATTTTCGGTTTTTAAATATATAATTTTTTTATTTTTATTCAGTAAAATCAATAAGATAATGCGTGGAATAAATCATCCAAAAATTTTTTGACAGTCTGAGCCTTAGCATAAGCTTAGCACAGTCTTAGCCCGATACAACTATAAATTCGGAATCAAAGATTATGCTAAGCATATACTCAGCTAAGTTTTTCGTAAGCTAAGTCTGAGCAAAGTCCAAGTACGATCTATAGATCTCAGCCTTAGACTTCTTCATGTGGATGTCTTTCGTGAAGGACGGTGTATAGTGCCGTCTTCACGCATCGTACGAGACGTTCCCATACCCCTCCCATGAAAGGCGCGGAGGGGGTGATAAAGCGCCACACTATGCCTCGTCGGCTGGCTTCTTCTTTAAAAGCCTCCCGCAATTCTTTATCCGCGCCGTGCATGTTGGTGCCGTTATCTGAATGAATTTCGGTGGGGCACCCTCGGCGCGCTGCAAATCTTCTCAAAGCTAATATTGCGGAGTCTGCGCTGAGATTTGCAACAATTTCCAAATGAACAGCTCTAGATGTGAGGCAGGTGAATAGAGCCACGTATCTTTTCTGATGTTGCCGTCCCACTGTGACGGAGAGTGGCCCAAAATAGTCCAGACCGGTGAAAGTAAACGGTCTCTGGTGATGAGCGAGACGTGTGCTGGGATGATCACCGGTGGCTGGCACAGATGGTTGCGCCTTTCTGATGCGACATGGCACGCATTGGCTCACTATCTTTTTCGTCGTGGGTCTAAGTCTTATAACCCAGTAATGTTGTCGAACCTCGTTAATTGTAGGTTCGGTTCCGCAATGATGTAGGCTGCGATGCGTCCAGTCTATGTACAATTGGGTGATGTGATGATCACCATCCAATATAGCCGGACCTTTCATGTCTTTCGAGACTCCCTTCGCGGCGGCTATGCGACTTCGCAGCGCGATGATTCCGTCTTTTAATTCTATCTGTAGTGGTCTTAGGCGGCTATTATGGGCGACCTTTTTATCGTTACGGATATCGTCTATTTCTTGTCTGAAGGAGTCCCCTTGTATCACCCGTATTAAGAGCTTTTCGGCCTCTCTGATGAATTCGGCCTCGAGTGTGATGTGCCTTTTGGCATCTGCGGTTTTTCTTAGACTGGAGGACTGTGTGCGGTGTTGCGGATTGTTTTTTGCTTTCCTCCAGTCGGGATCTTTTTCTTCATTCCTTCTAGTTCTTTTGTAGAAGGTCCTGTCTGTTGTTTTACGGCAGAGTGTAATAAATTGAAGCACTCTGGCCGTCGCTCGCAATAAGCGTTCCCATTTCGAAAATTTTGCTGGATTTGGGATGGCTTCTCTTATTACCGGAGCTCTATGTGATTTTGTAATGGTGAGGCATTCTTCCTCACCGGTCGGTTCGGATGACGTGGGTCTTTCGGTCGGCCGTGCTGACGGTTCTTTATACAGAGATGATGGGCCGCTGTACCACTAATGATTTGAGTCGAAGTTTGGTGGTACGTCCCTCGTAGCGGTGTCAGCTATATTCAATTTGGTAGGTACCCAGCGCCAGTCATCCACTTTACTATGGTTCTTTATGGTTTCCTCGCTCTTGTGCAGCTCATTGGCCGCGTGGACGCGCTGATACGGGGCTTTAGTGTGTGCCCCGTGTAGCACCCATCCTAATTCTGTGAGCGAGGCGATTGGTTGGTGCGGCGAGCCTCTGCGAATTTTAGTGGCTATCAGGAGTCTCCAATTATCTTGTCCTATTAAGATCTTTGGGTTGCCGGAGTCATATGTTAATTGCTCCTTCAGGTCTTTTAAATGTCTACACTTTTCTATATCTACTGCACGCACAGTCTGTGGCCCCAAGTTTAGGCTGGCGACCGTGCGTGCTCTGAATTGCACCCTTTTCCTGTGGAGACTCTTGAGCGAAACTTTGACTCGTCGGGAGTTCGGCGAATTAAGGGTATTGTTCCCGATGGCGGTGATCTTAAAGGGGTCCAACCGCCCTGTTGCTGCAATTTGTTTGGCTATTTCCTCATCCATTAATAAGACTGTTGACCCATCATCCAGCAGGGCGTGTGTATTTACAGCTCCCGCCGGTCCAATTACTCGGACTGGTATTATTTTTAAATAAGCGTGATGTTTTGACACGGCGAATGAATTTGCAACTGTTTCCTGAGGTTTTATTTGTGTGACCTCCGTTTTCTCCTTTTTATAATGGTGGAGAAGTCTATGAGCCGCTCACGTCCTACACCTATAGGTTCCGGTGGATACTTTCACTACCGCCTTTGTGTATGCTGTTGGAGAACTGTGGACTGAGGTTCAGAATTAAAAATGCACGATTTATAAATTAAATAGCAAGGGAGTGGCCAGCGGTTCGACTGATTAATTAGTTGCGAAATATTATAACTTATTTATTTATTTAACACTGTTTTTCAACTATGGTTGTTCACTATATATTTTAAAACACATATTTAATTAAACACACAGTAATATTAAAATTTCTATTGGTTTTTTAAAATTTCTATTCGTATTTTCAAAATATCTGTTGGTAATATCAAATTTCTATTGGCAGTAACAAGTTTCTATTGGTATTTTCTACTATTTCTATTGGTAATTTTGAATATCTATTGGGAGTAACAAATTTCTATTGGTAGTATCCAAAAATATCTATTGGTAGCAGCTGGTTTTCTAACACTACTGACTAGCAGCTATTAATCAACTAAGATTAGTTGAATTTAAACACTTTTGTAACTGCGAATATCAGTTACCACTTTTTCCGTCTAGCTAACACTTTTCACTATATGTAACGGCGAAATTTCCGTTACCACTTTTTTCAGCTAGCCAACACTTTTTCACTATATGTAACTGCGAATATCAGTTACCACTATTTTTGGCTAGCTGACACTATTTTACTCTATGCAACTGAGAATTTTCAGTTGCCACTTTTTCCGACTATGTGTAACTGCGATTTTTCAGTTACGACCTTTTTCGGCTAGCTAAACTTTTTCTATTTCACTTTAACTTTTCACTGTGTTCTGCTACTAGTCACTTCAGCTACTACCGGATACTACTGCTTGTTACTGGTAGTTCTTCCTACTACCATGTTACTGTGATTTGCCCCCATAAGGTAGACTTCGGCTATACTCTATAGAGAGCCGCTTGCCAATTTCCGGTTTTGCCTTTTTATTATCAAACATTTTCATTACGTAATTTGCACAAATCGCAATTTTTCTATATAATGCTAATTTTTACATTAACACGCTATACACTATAAAATAGGCATTTTGGTCCTTTATCATTATGTGATAAGGGTTACTTGATATATTTACATTCAAAAAAGTTATTAATCAAAATGTACCAAATTTACATAACAAAAGTGCACATTAAATCTTTAATTTTACTATATTTATTAAATGCGTTTATTTACACAAATTATCTATTTACTTATTTCAATCTATACACCATATGCTAACTAAATATCGTATTTATAATTCTTTCAGATCATAAAAATATTCTCATTATTTTCATATAAACTATTGCGCAGTTAATTAACTTCTAGAAAGTTCCACGATATGCTGCGCTGTGATTGGTCGAAATTTTATTTAATGTTTAAAGTCGTTTATATCAACTTATCATTAAAACGATACTTTATACAAATATATTACGAGTTGTAAACATACTGTAAAACTATATTAAAACACAATTTGTTCGATTTTGTCGCTAATTTCACCTTTTAAAACAATTTAATATTCTTTAATCACTTTTTGCTTAAAGTCTTTAAACCGTCGCGAACAATATCTATGTTTTGTATATTTGCCGTATTAAGTAAGTATTTTGTATCCTATTTAGCTTTTTTTACTGTTATTTGTTGACTCGTCTAAAGAGGTTCCGCTTTGCAATCGTTTCCTCTTTTTTACTTCAATTTTTTCGTTGTACTCCACCTGTTCAACCTCAACTGCTACTTCGATTACTACTGACTCACACTCCTACATTCTCGGACTGTTTAACTTCAAAGGTGTGTCTAAACTAGTCAATGTAGAGTCAAATCTATACTTATATAATATAATAAAGCGGAAGAGTTTTTTTGTTTGTTTAAACGCGCTAATCTCTGGAACTACCAGTCCGATTTGAAAAAATCTTTTTGTATATTATAGCCAGATTCATGTTAAATAGTATAGGCTATCTAGCATTAAGCTATATCACTCAGCTAGCCTTAAATATGGATATTTGTTAAGCAAGTCAGAAGAAAAAGCACTCCGGAAATGATTTTTTAGATTTATCCGCGTACGCTGGTGTTATCGTTAGGGATACGTAAATATAATGTTCTAGAAAAATATAGACCTATACTCCGTCTAAAAAAAGACCGCGATACCATATGTCTATTTCTTATAGATAAGCCATAAGTAAGTATTTTGTGACAAAAAAATATTGAAAATTTAAAAGTGATTTATGAGCGTTATTATTAGACATGGCCTATTTATCCTTACGAACGAAAGTTACTTCATCATCAAGACAATTTTATGAAGATAAACTTTGTTCTGTATACCACGTTATTTGGACGCATAGTTTAAGAGATAATGTCAAATTAAAATAATTCAACACTTGGCTGGGCGCGCGAACGACGCTTAAACCCTAGCCGTTATAAAATGCTTGAAATAGGTCATGTCGAGCACCTCGGATACGTGATGACGCGGGTGAAACCGCGGGGCACAGCTAGTATTTCATAAACTTGTGCTTTAGGATCTCTCATTGGTGTGTACAATTTGTCAATATTCGATATCGAACTAACAGCTATTTCTGTCTCCTTAACATAATCATTCGTGACCATATCTTGCACTAAATGGTGTAAGCTATCAACCGTATAGTAACACCATCTTCTATACAAACTTCCATAGAAAATGTATCCTTCAATTTTGCTGGCTGCTCTTGCATACTGATGCAGTTTGAATCGTCATACTGAAGTTTAATATAATTTGTAGTATCTTCATTACATTCATGTACAGATAGTTCTATTTCCTCATTGTCATCGTCGTCTTCAATTATTTCGAGATTGTCTGAGGTACTACTTAAAGTTCTAGCACTATCTTTTTTTTTTTATAGGATAAGGGTGACAAACGAGCACACAGTCCACCTGATGGTAAGTGGTTGCTGCGACCCATAGACATCTACATCTATCCTCTATTACAAATCAAAATGTAGATGCGTTGTCACCCGTGAGGACTAAGATTGAATGCCTCATTTCCAGTAAAAAGGGCCTCCGGCCACCTGCATTCACCAAGCGAAACGCAGAGGTAAACCTCTACTTCACGCTGGTTTTCTGTGAGGTCGTGGTACCACCCCGGTTCGAGCCGGCCCATCCGTGCGACAGCAAGAGCTGCCGCGTGGCTCTACCACTGTAAAAATTCTAATGAAATGCTATTCTTAAGTTCAGAGTTTTTTGAAACAAGTGAGTGTAAGTTTGTTTCTTGATTTTGGCGATTTGCTTGATTCACATCAAACAAATCTCGTTCAATTTGTTTTGCTGTTTCAGCATCAAAACCATTTTTAATTAACTCAATTACAAGCTGTCTTCGCAATCTTTGGTCACAGATGTTTCAATGTATAAGTCTGTTTCTTGATTTTGGCGAGGTGAATCAAACAAATCTCGTTCAATGATTTTTGCTGTTTCAGCATCAAAACCACATTTAATTAACTCAATATGCAAGCTGCCTTCGCAATATTTCGTCACAGATGTTTCAATGTACTCTTTTGTTTTTGATATATCATCACTATCGTTCACGGATTCTAATTTTAAAAGATTTTCCTTCGACTTTCCATCTTGAGAACCATCATCTGACCAACGGAGAGGTAACTGTTCAACATCAGAATGTTGAACAGTTACCTCTCCGTTGGTGAAAGATGGTGTAGCTTGTGTACCTTTAGGGCTACAGAGAAAACGTGGTGTAGGTATATTCATAATTTTAACTTCTGAAATTGGTTCATCAGGTAAATCAGGACCTAAAAACTTTGGAGTTTCCATTTGTATGTCATAAAGCGCCTCCTTTCCTAAAACAATGTAACAACGTAAACTATTAAAGGTAATTTTAAAAAACCTGGTTAATTACTCGTATTACATAATATGTTAGATCTAAGAAACAAGATTTACCATTCAATACAATCTAAAATCGTAATAATATGAAATGGACTTAAATAAATCACAGGACTTATTTAGATCTACAAAGAGCATACGTGATGCCTTATGACCACTGACCTCTATAAATACAAGTACGCCGGACTGGCTATACTATACAAAATACTTGTGCCGATTAAAAGCGCCCTCATTGTTCGTACCGGGTACTAAAATTGATATATGCCTAAGTTTGTTGTGTTATTTAAATCGTATATCTGTATTTTGAACTTATAAACTAAAAAATTAAAGTATTTTATGTGGTTTGATTATGTTTGATTTTAGTTACATAATAAGAATTATTTTTAGTAATAATGAGTGTGCCTAATTTGTAAAACTTATTACCAAAAGGAATGTGGGATAACATTCCATAAGTAAGTGAATTTACAGCTAATATTAAACAAATTACAACTATTTGATAATACAGGTACTTAAAAATTTGTTACTAATCTTAATATCGTAATTACCAACATGTTTGGCTTTATATTATTGAGCTTTGGTAAACGATAAAATTCAATAGGGTTGTCGATGTGCTTTTCTACCCATATCTGTTAACAACCGAAATGGCCGACAACAGATAATTATCAAATGTTTATTAATTAACAGGTTTCAAACTGATCCTAGACTAAAATTATGGCTAAAAAGTATAAAATTGTGAGTTGGTGTCCGAAACAAGATCTTTGTTCTAAAAACTTTACACACGACTATTTTAATAGACATGAGAAACGCACCCCTTTGAAAAGTTGCAGTATGCCCACAATATTTTCTGGTAGTATCCAGTATCCAGTACCAGTAAGTATAAAAGTATTAGATTATTATCTCGAATGTTTTTTTTTAAATCATTCTCTCCTTATTTTCCCCCAGATTCAAGGGCCAGTGTAGAAAGGTCGCCTAATGATGACTTTGTGTTTACAAGACGTAAATTTGTTAAATCTTTTTAAAAATGACCATTTTATTATATCAAGGGATTGAATCTGCGTAAGTTTCGGTGAGAAATAGCTCCTCGAAAAAATGGGTTCCCACCTTGTCGTGGGGGAGGGGGTTAGGAGCCGTGGCTTGGTAACCTTTGGTACAATTCGAACCAGCCATGTGTAGGTGAAAGGCTAGCCCAAGGTGGCCACTCTGAGTGGGCTTGTCGATTCCTTGGATGTGTGTTAGTGGGCTGCGGCTAGAAGAGTCCTCTCTATGTATCGCTGCAGCCGAGGTGGAGTCGCAAGGGTAGAGGACTGTTGGTATGGCGATGTGCCGAAGTCCTCAACTAAGAAGGGGTCCTCGCTGATGGGGCCGCGGATATGTTTGAAAGCGTTTCCGTAGCCCTGCCAATGTGCGGCGAAGGTAGAACACCATGGGGTTTTAGTAGGTGCGAGTCCGACAATCCGTTCTTACCCCCGCGAGGAGGGTATGCGTAGGAATTTCCTCATTTGAAACCTCGAAGAAAATCCGTTCTGTGGTTATTAATGAAAACGTAGATAGACCAACGCAGCGTCGATCTTGGTTTTCTACCGACTTCAAAAAGGAGCCGGTACTCAATTCGACTGTATGTTTTTTTTTATGTGTGTACCTCATAACTTCTTACTGGGTGAACCGATTTCGATTATGCTTCCCATGTGGTCCCATATAAATTTGACAAAGGTCTGACCAATAGTTTTTGAGTTATTCTTAATAATTTCTATTGAAGTCGGTTGTACAACATTTTTAATTTTAAATTATATATATGAGGTATTAAGCTTTTGTCTAAGGCCTATGTATTAATAGATACATTTATTTATTGTACCTATAGCATTATATTAATATGATACATAAATAGAATGGACGTTACGAGTAGACCTGAGTATAGAATTTTTATCGATATATTTTGTCACAATCTTATCTCTATTATTAGCCCCTTGGACGTTCACTTCTGCTGTCAGCGCTAAAATGGCGAAAATCAAATCGCCTCATTATATCACGGTGTATAGCCAGTCCATATATAGAAGTCAGTGCTTATGACAACAGTAAATATCCCGCTACGCTTTCGAATGTGGCAAGAGACTACGTTAGAGTAACAACAACTGAATTACGTTAAATATGGTTATTAATTATACAAAGCAACTCATATCCATTTAAAAAAGGGTTAAGATTGCAATTTTAAGTTAACTTTCAGGTTCCTGGTTATGAATGCTGAACGATGTAATGAATCATCTTCGTTTTTATCATGCGCCCAATGGGGCATTGGTCATGCCTCAACATCATCAGCTCGTCAAAATCCGCTGCTGGACATAGGCCTCTCCCCTTGTGGGAACGCTGACTACTTCCGAGTTTGTCGGAAAGTGTGTATGTGTGTTTGTGTGTGTGTGTATGTGTGTGTGAGAGAGAGAGAGAGAGAGTGTGTGTGTGCGTGCGTGCGTGAGTATTAGCTTACAATAGCAACAAATGATTCAGTGTCGTCATAACCAAGCTTTGAAAGATATTCTTTTAAAGAAAACTTACAATCATACAAAGTGTTATGGATCGCAGTGGACTGTATTATTGATGGGGATAGGGGGGTGTACGCTAGGGGGCAACTGCTCAAAGAAAAGATGGTACTGTCGAACTATACTGTATTCTAACTATTTACAAAATGTGGCACTATTAATTAAACTATTATACAGAGGGGAGTCTTCTTGATGGAGTCTTCTTGAGTCTTGATTTTCTTGATTTTCTTGCTGTCTTCTTCTCGTCGAGTGCCGCTTCCGAAATGAACAACAACCGTCCGGGACGCCCTTCTTATATTTCGCCGGAGAGCGTCTCGGGTCGTGCGTAGCGTCGTCCGCGATGCCGCGCGCTCATTGGTCGGCGACATCGCGTGATCTGCTGCCGGTGTGCGGGGTGCGCGGGGCGCACCGGGGTGTGAAGGGGCGACGGGGCGGCGGCCTCCTCGCTGTCCGCTACATCCTCCCCCCGGCGTAGCCTGCGAGCCTAAGCTTCTTTCGGGAGGACGGCGATCTTCCTGACGGGCCGCCGCAGCACTCCTCCCTTGGTCCGGACCTCGACGTTCCGTACCACGCCGTCTGGTCCAGGAAACGTCTTCGTTACGATGCCCCGCGGCCACACGTTCCTGGGTAGGTTGCCGTCTGCAACCACGACGAGGTCTCCTTCCTGTATTTGGCGCTGCTGAGCATCTCTGGAGTCCCCGCGCGCGACCAGCGTCGGCAGGTACTCCTTCACCCAGCGCCTCCAGTATTCGTCGGCGAGTCCTTGCGCCGCTCTCCACGCCCGACGATCCATAGGTGTGCACGGCGCGGTGACTGGCAGGCCCGATGGTCCCAACAGTAGGAAGTGGTTGGGTGTCAGCGCCTCTTCATCGTCGATGTCGACCGGTACGTGCGTCAACGGTCGAGAATTCACAGTATTTTCGGCTTCAGTTAGAAGCGTTGCCAGCGTTTCTTCTCGTGGGCTCTTCTGATGGAGAGTGGCTTCGAGCGCGGTCTTCACTGAGCGCACGAGACGCTCCCATGCGCCTCCCTGGTTAGGCGCGCCCGGTGCGATGAACTTCCAATCGACGCGCCGAGTCAGCGCGTAATTCTTCAACTGTGGCGCCCACTCTTCCATTGCCCGTCGTAATTCCGTGTTTGCCCCGTGAAAATTAGTCCCATTATCCGAATAAATAACCCGTGGCCACCCACGCCTAGCCGCCATGCGCCGCAATGCCGATATCGCCGAGTCCGCGGTCAGAGAATAGACTATCTCTAGATGTACTGCGCGCGTCGTTAGGCACGTGAACAGTGCCACCCACCGTTTATCGTGCCGTCGTCCTATCGTAACCGTCAGAGGCCCGAAATAGTCAATCCCGGTGTTCGTAAATGGTCGCGCAAACGCCCCTAACCGTTCAGGTGGTAGGTCTCCTGTAACCGCAGGTCGTGGTGTCGCCTTCCGTATTCTGCATCGTAGGCATCTCCGCTCCGCTTCCCGTACTGTAGGTCGTAATCGGAGGATATGATACCTAGTGCGCAGGTCGTTCACCACCCTCTCCCTATTGGCGTGGCTTGCTTCCTGATGCGCCTTCTCCACAAGCAGCTTCACAAATTGGTGACGTCCATTCAGGATAATGGGTCTCTTCATTTGACCGTCCACGTCGGCTGCGTCGATCCTTCCCCTGGCTCGTAGCACTCCATCCTCCAACATGGGGTCGAGCTTCCTTAGTGCGCTGCCGGTGGTCAAATTCTTTCCCCGCTGAAGGCGGCTGATGTCTTCAGCGAAGCTTTCCTGCTGGCTGCGTTGTATCCACATCCGTTCTGCTCTCTGGATGTGCTGTAAGGTCAGTCCTCGTGCTCTTCCTCGTGCCGCATCGAGGAATTGTAGTACTCTTGCAGTGGCCCTGATTAACTTCTCGTAGGCAGAGAATCTCTCTATGTCAGGCAGGTGTGGAGCTTCCTGGGTGTCGCTCTGGTGCGCCACGATTTCCTCCAACTCTTCATCATTCCCCGCCTTCTCTTCCTGTCGGTGAGGCCATCTGTCTTCATGCTCGTAGAGGAAGGGTGGTCCGGTAAACCACTTGTCGCTCTCTTCCTTAGTTGTGAAATTCATCCGCGTTGCCTGATCCGCTACGTTTTCCGCAGTTGGTATCCACCTCCATTGCTCGGGTGATGTCTTCTCAGCTATCTCCCCTAACCGGTGAGCAACGTATGGAGTGTAACGCGCCGTATCGTTTCGTATCCAGTGGAGCGCCGTAGTAGAGTCCGTCCAATATACGACCCTATCCGCTACCACTCTGTGTTCGTCCTGCACGAATTCCGCGAGGTGCGCGCCTATTAAGTTCGCCTGCAACTCTAATCGCGGTATACTTTGCGCTTTAATTGGGGCGACTTTCGCCTTAGCCGCCACTAATCGCACCCTAATCGTTCCGTCGCGATATCGTATACGCCAATACGCCGCGGATGCGTACGCACGTTCGCTCGCATCATTGAAGACGTGAAGTTGACGCTCTACAACTCCCCCCGTAGGAGCATAGCACCTTGGCAGTCGTAGTCGTGATACCTCCTCGACGACTCGCAGCCATCGCTGGAATTCCTCTGCTGCCTCCTCGGGTAGTTCGTCGTCCCATCCGACCTTCTTCATGCGCCATAAGTCTTGTAGCAGGATCTTGGCGGTGATGGTGAGGTAACTCAGCAGTCCAAGCGGGTCAAAAACGGACATGACCGCGCTTAATGCTTCCCTCTTGGTCGGTGGTCGTTGTAGCGCCTTCACTTCTTGCGGCACCCTATTCATTGACGTGTTGAATGTTAGGGCGTCTTCATCGGCCATCCATAATAACCCTAAGGTTCTGCCTGGGCTGTCTTGTCTTAAGCCTACTTCTTTAGGCTTACGCGCCAGTAAGTCCTCCGGCTTGTCTTCTAACAGGGCTGCGTGGTTGGAGTTCCATCCTGCCAAGGTGAAACCGGCCTGCTGGTGCACTTCCGAAACCTGCCTCGCCGTATTTATCGCTTCCTCTACCGTGGCATAACTGTCTAAATAATCATCCATGTAATGGCTACGTGTGATAGCATTAAGTGCCAACGGGTGTGTCTCTGCGTGTACGCGCGCGTTATGATCCCTAACGCTATGTGCGAGAAACGGCGAGCTCCTCGCACCGAAAATCATTGATGTCATAACGTACTCCCGCGGTGGGCTGTGTCGCTCGTCTCCTCGCCAAAGAAACAACTGCGCGGGCTGGTCGCGACGGTCGATCTTTACACGCAAGAACATCTCCCTAATATCCGCGGACACCGCTATCTCGTTTTCCCTAAATCGAAACAGTATGCCCGGTAGGTTCCGTAATAAGTCGGGGCCGTCGAGTAAATAATCGTTAAGGCATCTGCCGGATGCACGCGCTGCCGCGTCGAACACTAATCTCGTCTTCCCCGGCTTGTTCGGATTCCGTACTGCGAAGTGTGGCAGGTACCAGCTCTTGGGATCCTTTCGCTCTGTCCCTTCGGCTTCCCTTGCGTATCCCTTCGCCAGGAGGTTGTCTATCTGGGCTGTATAGGCGTCACGAAACTCCGGCGACTGGTCCATCTTCCTCTCGATCGTCCGTAGTCTTCGTGCTACCGGTGTCCTCCTGGGCGGTGAACGTCTTTACGTCGCGGGCCCTATCTTCTACGCGGCGTGTTAACACTATTCTTTTCGACGGCGGCGTCTCTCGTCTTACGGGCGATTCCTTATTCGACGCTACGGACGTATAGGCATGACTTAACGCACGGTCAGCCTCTCTCATCATGAACCGGGACAACGTAACGATGTCCGGTTCGTCCACACTTCCGTAGTGCTCCGCGTAATCGCACCAACGCGACCGTAAGTGAGGGCTAAGTTTGCTAGTAACCTCCCTAGTCAGCATTGGATTACGCAAATAACCCTTGCCGTCGACGTTTTGCATAATGCACACTATATTTTGTAACTTAATTGCGAACGAGTTTAATTCCTGGGCGGTTTGACCCGGGCGCGGAAGGCGTTTCAATTCCTCTAACGCACGATCTATAATTACTTCCGGGCGGCCGAAACACTGCTCCAGTGTCCGCATAATGTCTGCTGGATCCTTCGCGGTAAACAGCAGAGCCGATACTACTTCTCTAGCCTCACCGCGTAAACAGTTCCTTAATCTTGCCATATTTTCCGTATTTGTGAATCCATATAAACGCGTGGATTCATTCATCGCGGCTTTAAATGCTAACCATTCCGCGGCCGAGCCGTTAAAAATAGGCAAGTCCTGCGTCTGTTTCGCGGCGGCTGGTCTAACTCTAACCATGTTTTCTAGAGCTTCCGCTAGCCGTTCTATACCCCGCGATCTATCTATAGGCGATCTATGTGTAGGCGATAGAGTGCGGCATTGGACGCGCGACGGCGACGTAGCTCGTACACGACGATCCACCTGGTTCATTTCTACGGCGACTCCATTATCCCTCTGTATCCTATTTACGCGGCGCGGTTGAACGTCATTCGCGACCGACTTCCCCTGGGCATCTTCAGCGTGGTCGTAACCGGTTCCCCTCCTCGGTGGGGCCTGCTCTATCTCGATGCGGGGCGCGGGCTGAGGCGGGCGGTAGGGCGGCTCCCCCCGCACAGTCTCTACGTTTTCTAACCACCTATCAACGAGTACCCTATTTTCGACTAATTCGTCCTCGTTTAGGCTTTCCCTATCGGTTTCTTCTTGCAGTTGCGCGATATCCCTAGCATATTTCTTCTTGACGAGATCTTCCTCTATTTGCAATTGCTTCCTCCTAATTGCAGCTAGTTCCTCCGCGGCATTATATTCGATTTGTTTTAATCTCGCTACTGCGCTAGCTGTCGACCGGGCTGAACGGACTGAACGGACCGACGGGGCGCGGGACGCGGGCCTATGTACAACGTCTGCTACAGGCGCGACGGTACGCACTATCGAACTAGTTTCCGTAGTCGGAAGATCTTCTATTATCGCGGCGAGCGTTTCTGTGCGCGGCGCGGATGTGCTAACCTCTCCCAAGCGATCGGTTGTAGACACGGACATAGCGGGGCGCGGCGGCGCGGGCTCGGGCGCGGGCATAGATGCGGGCGCGAGCGGGGGCTGCGGCGCGGCGGAGGGCGCTTGTGCCAACGCGAGATAATCGGACGGGGACGCGGGTGCTTCCTCGAATATCCGCATTCCTACTGGCGTTTCGTCGTCGTTCCGTGTCTTCTGGCTTCTTGTCTTCCGCATGATGGTGTCCCTCGTTGCGACCTCCGATCGTCTTCAAAAAGACGCACATATTGGACGCCGTCCCGCCTCAAGGGCGTTACCGGATGGTCACAGTTTGGCACCGTTAGGGAGCAACCACCCGGCCGCGTAAACGCGGTTAAGAAACAGGAATTGTCTGGAAACAGACAATATATATGACGTCGATGTAAATAAGAAACGAGGAAGGAGTTAGTACCGACGATCTTCTCTCTTCGTACTTCTTTCTTCCTCGAAGATCTTCTGTAATGATCTTCTTTCTTCTGTAATTATGTTCTCTCTTCTATAATTATGTTCTTTCTTCAATAATTATGTTCTTTCTTCAATAATTATGTTCTTTCTTCAATAATTATGTTCTTTCTTCTTTCTTTTGGCTTGAATCCGGCGACGATGGACCAAGAACTTGTTATGGATCGCAGTGGACTGTATTATTGATGGGGGTAGGGGGGTGTACGCTAGGGGGCAACTGCTCAAAGAAAAGATGGTACTGTCGAACTATACTGTATTCTAATTATTTACAAAATGTGGCACTATTAATTAAACTATTATACAGAGGGGAGTCTTCTTGATGGAGTCTTCTTGAGTCTTGATTTTCTTGATTTTCTTGCTGTCTTCTTCTCGTCGAGTGCCGCTTCCGAAATGAACAACAACCGTCTTTTTTTTTTTTTTTTGCGCCCGAAGCAATTGGAAAAGGGCTACCCCGAAGGGAGGCAGAAAATGCATTACGCATACCACGATGGCCGGTCCATCGTGGTTATGAGGGACTCACTACCTACAAGGGGGAACCTAAGTGATACCCTCTAAAAACTGCCTTTGGGGACTGGCAACCAGCTGTTGAAAGCTTCACATGCCGTATCGTAAAGCGACCCTCTTTTGGGAAAAGAGGGCGCAGGCGGCTATAAGCCGCTGAGGGAGTGCCTGGGAAGGCAAATTAATTATGAATAACTTAATTAGAGTTGGCCTGAGCCGCCAGGAGGCAGTTCAGGTCGTTTGAAAGTTTATTAGGCGGGTCCGAGAGGGAGTTCCTCGGCCTGCGGACGCTATAGCGGGAGGGGAGTGGGGCTGCATAATTAGCAGCCTCACGAATAAAATGATTGGAATGCGACTCTGAGGCTTTGAAGAAGTTCTCAGAGAGTTTTTTAAGGAATTGTTGAATTGTAGGGAGCTCTAGGTCCCGATGAAGGTCGGCATTGCGGACGTACCAAGGTGCGTTCGCAGCTCGACGACAGAAAAGGTTTTGAACTACTTGGAGTTCATTAATAATTTTAGGGTTAGAGTGGGCGAAAATGGGGCCCGCGTAGGACATGACTGGTCGTATACAGACCTTATAAAGGGTACGCTTGTTTCTGAGGGACATTTTACTGTGTCGGCCCAACATACTGTTGAGCCTATTCAGGTAAAAACGTGCGTGACGGGTTACTCTTTTGACGTGGGGCCTGAAAGTTAGCCCTGTGTCTAGAGTGACACCTAAATATTTGGCAGACGTATGCCAGGGGACAGGGGTCCCTAGCATACGTATTGGTGGAGTATTTTTGAGACGGCGTCGTTTATAATCGAAGTGAACGGCGGAGCTCTTCTCCGGGTTCACATCGATGCGCCATTTTTTGAACCAAGCTCCTAGGTCATCAACTGACTTTTGGACCTTGTTCCGTATGAAAGGTAGCGAGATACCTTTGCAGTAGAGAGCAGTGTCGTCTGCGAAGAGGGAGAGCTGAACACCTTTCGGCGGAATGGGAATGTCGTTGGTGAACAGTATGTACAGCAGAGGAGCAAGAACTGAGCCCTGAGGGACACCAGCTTTGATGGGGCGCTGTGAAGATAGCGTGCCTTCGTGTCTAAAACGAAAGGTACGATGATTAAGATAAGAGGCCACGAGACGTACTAGACGATCGGGGAGACCTATTTTGTATAGTTTGTAGATAAGGCCTGTATGCCAGACTCTATCGAAGGCTTTGGCGATGTCGAAAAAGACCGCGATAGTCTTATGACGACGGGGATAAAAACCGCTGAGGATATATTCCACAATACGGTGAACTTGTTGGGGGCAGGAGTGTTTCGCTCGGAAACCGAATTGATGGGGAATGATAAGAGGGTCACCGTCTGTGGGAAACAGATGGCGCCTCATGCGATTTTGAATGACTCTTTCAAAGAGCTTGCCCATGGCCTTGAGGAGGCTAATGGGACGATGACTGGAGGGGAGATTAAGAGGCTTGCCTGGCTTGGGAATACCAATCACAGTTGCCTCTTTCCACGTAGTGGGAAAGTAACTAAGGTTGAAGCAGGAGCATTGAAGATAATAGATAAAAGGGTTAGCACCTGCTCAGGAAAGTTTTTTAGGGCTTGGTTGGAGATGCCATTCGCGCCCGGAGCCTTTTTAGGCTTAAGTCCTTTGATGAGGGATGAAAGCTCATCATTGGACACAGAGATAGGTTCGGAGGCTGTAGGGGGCGAGTTCCGGCGGCGGACCTCATCCTCCACTGCCTGGACGTGTGAGGGGTCTACGGGTTGAGAGCTAGGAGAGCATTGAGCGGCAATGCTGTCTGCAAAGCACTCAGCCTTTTCCTCGTCCTCGAAGGCTACCGTACCGTCGGGACGGGAGAGAGGGGGAGTGTGGAAGATAGCGTCTATGCGGAGGGCTCTTGCCATCTGATAGTACGCTGTATGAGAGGGAGAGATATTCTCCATGAGCTTACTCTTTTCGAGGTCTCGAAATTCAGAGAGGCGGAAACGGAGTTCTCGTTGAAGACGATTGGCCGTGCGCCTATATTCGGGCGTGGGATATTTTGCTGCTCTCCGGAAAGCAGCTTTTTTGGCTTTTAATAGGTTGCTAATATGCAGGGGAAGCCCACTATTATTAGCAACCGGGACGACCCTTTCATTCTCCTTAAGGGAGGTTTTAATAAGGGTGGAGAGTGAATCGACCGCGGTGTCAATTTTTTCAGGACTGTCTAAGTCCGAAGAATGGGAGATGGGGGAGTCCTGTGAGTCCAGAGCTTTCGCTAGGGACTCCTTGAAGCCCTTCCAATTTGTGAAGGTTTTAGTAGAGGGTGTTGGGAGTGGTGGCTGATGGCCAAGAATGAGAGAGACCGGTCGGTGGTCGGATCCTAGATCGTCTAGTGTCTCGATTGCCCTAAGGTTGAGAGAAACTCCTTTGAGTAACGCAAAATCTAGTACATCGGGGGCATAGTCGGTGTTATCGGGAAAGTGAGTAACACCAAGAGGACTGTGGACGGTAATATCAAGAGACTGCGTGATATCGAGCAGTAACTTGCCACTACGGGTGGTAGTACGGCATGTCCATTCAGTATGCTTGGAGTTAAAATCTCCAAACATAATGACTGAATTGCCTAGAGATAAAATAGCCTCAAAATCTTTTTTGAGGGGAAGGGTTTTAGAAGGGATGTAACAGGAGGCTATGAAGATGGATTGATGTCCAGTCATAGCTAGCCTGCATACCGTGGCTTCCATGTTGGAAAGTTGCGGAGTAGAAATGGGAGAACAGTGGAGTGTCTTCTTGTAATAAATGGCCGTACCGCCGCCTCGGCGGTCGGGTCTGTCATTACGAAGAAGAGAGAAGTTTTTGATGGAAAGGCCTTTAGTGTCCTTAGTATTGAGATTAGTTTCCTGTAGGAGGAGGAAATCGGTTTCACGATTTTGAAGAAAGAGCTTAAGCTCTGGGAGGTTATTTCGCAAACCGCGAATGTTAAAGGATACAAGCGATAAACCCTTAGGTTTGATACGACCGTGGGATTTTGGTAGAGCAAACTGCTCTGTCATTGTGAGTTAAGTTAATTAAGTTAACTTAACTTACAATGAGCACAAAAGATTATGATGCTCTGCAAGAGCGAGGAGACGGTCCTGAGGGGACCTCGCAGCGCGCAATTTGCGTGCTAACACAGCGATTTCCTCAACGTTGATGTTCCTAATTGCGGAATACACCGTTTTTAGGTCATCAGCCATTGAGG